TATATATATATATATATATATATTTTTTATATATATATATTTTTTTTTATGTATATATATATATATATATATATATGCAAATCACACAACAATAAACATAATCTTTCCTACAAAACATGCATTCATTATTAAATAAAAATTATACAAAAAGGCCAAAAAGTGACCATACATAAAGATACATAAAGATTTCATTTTAATATCTTCTTTGAAAATACTTGGCCTAATACTTTTATAGTTTCGAAACGTGTCAGCCTTATTCTACAGAACAGGCTTGGCTCATGAATATTAACATAGTCAATCACGCGTCCAGTCGTAACATTGGCCTTCAACAAATCAACTAGGCCTGCTTGGCAAACGTCGCGTTACTAATTAATATTCATGAGCCACGCCGTCACCATATTAGGTGCAGTTCTCAGATTCCTCCTCTAGATGGCATCGCTACATTAAACAAGAGCCTTTGAATTTGCATTACACACTCTAGACCGGTAGGTGGCAGCAACTCCGAATCCCACGAATATCCAGTCAGAGGAAGGCTGGACTGTGTTTAAAAACAGGAAATAAGAGCGCTTCAACCCAACAGATGAGAGTTACTCCAGAGAAGAGCTCAGGAGTCAGAGGAGCGATGCTTCTACCGGGGAGAAAACAGCTTTTCTGTCTTTTATGGACCATCATTTTATTATCACAGTGGGTGAGTGTGGCGATTATTTGTTGTTGTGACTGTAACTAACGTTAGTGTAACGTATCTCTTTGTAGCCTAGCACAAACTTTAGCCAGCCTGACGGTTTTCAAGAGTTGTCAGGTCATGTCTCTTCAAATCCCAAAAGCGATGCTGATGTGTATTTTTTGAAGTCAAAGCTAAGGCTTGGCTTTAAAAGCATGTCATGTATCTTTGTCGTAAAACGAGCTATTTTCTTCTTGTTAAACTCCAGTCGAAGGTTGTGGACAGACAGAGGAAATATGGTTTGCTACATCATGTGAATCAACTGTCAGTCTTTGCAGATTTACATGGCAGCACATGATCTAACCTGCAAGATCAGCTTTTAGCAGACTAGAACTGCTGTTACGGTGTTTTTAAGGGATGGAAAGAGCGCTTTCTGTTAAGCAGCTTCGCGTTAGGACGAGTCAAATATGCCTTTGCATTAAAGGGATAGTTCACCCAAAAATGAAAATTCTGTCATTTACTCACCCTCATGTCGTTCCAACCCTGTATGAGTTGCTTTCTTATGTTGAACACAAAAGAAGATATTTTGAAGATTGCTGGTAATCAAACAGTTGGTGGTTGCCATTGACTTCCATAGTAGGAAAAAAAAATACTATGGAAGTCAATGGCAACCACCAACTGTTTGATTACCAGCAATCTTCAAAATATCTTCTTTTGTGTTCAACATAAGAAAGCAACTCATACAGGCTTTGATAAAGAATATCTCTTTGGTTTGAGACTTTAGTCTTTGCAGCTTCAGGGATCTTATCTACGCACAATGAGCTTGTAACACTCCAAAGAGAAAGGAAAACTTGAAATCGCATCGTATGACCCCTTTAAATGAATCTGTTCAACGTATTCACTGATATTGGGTGCACTGTTCTGCTTCTTCAATTTTCTTACAAACTGTCAACACGAGGCCAAGACTTGTTCTTGTCTCAGACTCGTGTGCTAGTCTCGACGACAACAACACTGCATATTTTTCATCTGTTGAAATCTCAAAACAGTCAGATAGAAAATAATGTTGACATATAACCATATTTTGCATAATGCATGTCTTAAATGTGGTATTATTTATAATTGACCCAATTTGTGGGTGGGGTTGGCATATTCAGATATATCAGTATTTTAAAAGCATTCAATTTATTTTAATAATCAATAATTCAAAGTAATTAATCAAAATTATAGTCGGATTAAATACGAAATAATGCAGTTTAATAGCCAGTGTGTTTATTTCACACCTTGTTCCAAGACTATTCAATAAATATATTTAGAAATACAACATTCATACTAGGCTTGCCACGATAGACGATGCTAACAGTGATACCGTTGTTAAGCTGCAACACCAGTTACGTCACTTGCCCACCGCGTCACCGACCCCCACCGTCGTTTTGATTTTTTATAGTAATAAAAATAATTTAGTTCAGTAAAAGAACAGACACTACAATTAAAAACTGAACGTG